ACATCGTCTAAGTCGGTCCAAATTTCGCTGCATACCACCGAAGCAGACGCAGAAGAATAATTTGCGTTATGTAACCCAGGTCTTTGGCTTACACACACTCACATAAATGACCTGTCCTCCCTGCCCATGCTCATGTAACATCCTATTCAGCAGCGTTACGCCACGAGATATACTTTGCAGTTCCCACTCCTCTGCTCCCCAGAGGCACGTCCCATGTAGTAAACCAAAGACACCTCTCCTCAGGGCCTCAGTGCTGGGAGAGGGATGGAGGGGGCACTTTGGCTTTCATTGTTTTAAGAATCAGAGCCCCACGGTGTGAAGCTCCTCCTGATAAATATTTCATGGGACGCCCCATTAAGATCAAAAGAAAACCCGCCGTATTGTTATGATTCCAAGGAGGGAACATCTAAATATTCCCTCTGTGCTGCTCCCCTTGTAAGGACTCATCTAATGTAAACAGGAGTGATGTCTAAGGTTTCTTTCTTCATCACAAAAATATTCACAACTATGATTAACAAGCTGCATAACCTAGAAATCAGGCAGCCTCTGGTTCCCAAAACTGAAAATATGGTTTGCGCATTTTTAGCGACCAAAGGCCACGAATTAGGTTAGAGATGGAACATCTTTCTCCTTTTTAAATGAAATGTTACAGACATTCAAAACACCAGGGACAACGATGGAAATCAGTTTAATTACTTTATCCTTCGGTCCCCGACAAAGTCTGATAATGCCGTTTTTTCATAAATACATCATAATACAGGCAATAAACCAAACCACCAAACACAAACAGGTAACCCCGTGAAAATGCTTTAATCTAAATCAGGAACATCCACATTGAGAAGCATCCATCTCCTCCATGAGAGAAATGACTCACTTTGTCCAAATACTTTTGTAATGGACAGTGTTGTGCAATCTATACATTAGAAGTGACATTTTAAATGTTTACAAGACAACATCAAACTTTGTATGAAACTCAAAATTAATAAAAACATCATATGATGTAAATAATCTCCAGCAGATATTCACAATGCTAATGCTTGTGAACTAATCAAACATAAGAGTTCATACCATTAAAGCTTTCCAGTCTCGTATTCAACCCCATAAAAAGACACACAATCTATTTACAGTTTGTCAGAGGGCTGAGATTGTCTTCTCTATTGACAGACGACTCCACACTTTACCTCTTCCTTTGTAGTCGTGATGAAGGCTGGACAAACCAGAAACCTGTTGCACACGGTTTTGTTTACCTACATTATGTAAGGTGTGTGTGTGTGTGTGTGTGTGTGTGTGTGTGTGTGTGTGTGTGTGTGCGTGTGTGTGTGTGTGATACATGATACTTACCAGTGGAAGAACACATTGTACTCTGACCCCCACTGACTCGCATCCTGTTAGATGGCTTGACTTGACATTATTATAAGGCGATGCTCTCCTTTCATGTCTCACTTCCTGTTTGGTGTCCTGTACCTGTGACATAACCGCCCAGGAGCTCAACTTAAATGTCACCACGCTGGGGTTGATACGTAGACATCTGACAGGCAGGGCAGAAGGATGGCCCTTTGAACGGATGTCAGTTGGACAGAAAGGGTGTCATTTCACAGATCGATGAAGGTATTATTAGGTATTATTATTAGATATATGTATTATTAGTTGGATGACTCCAGATATGGCATTAACTCTCGTTTTTTCTCTGAATGTATGCAGGTTTTCAGTTTTGGTACAGATATTGTTTACTTAGTATCCACAGTTTGGTGTGACTGATCGTTTTCTTTTCTCCTTTTCACCTCTTTTAAAAAATTGTTTTTTTAATATCCCCATGTTGCGAAAGCAAATCAACACTGCCGCTCACAGCTTGAAGCCAAACAAACACCAACAGAGGAGTCATGAAACCTAACGTAATAAATCCTGTATGAGAATAAACAGAGCTAAGAACACCATCTTCTTCAAAAGCACTAACACTAGTCTCAGTGTATTTACACCACTCACCGGTTACCCCGGTATGGACTCGGACATCCGTTCTTGCCTGGTTGTATTCTACGTTTTTCTCACGGTCAACAAACCCCATGAAAGTACCTCAACCAGCAATGAATTGATCCCACTATCACAATTTATTGTCCGTGTAGCCAAAACCTGATATAATGCATCTCCAGTGACCTCCATTGATGTCCAAAAACTATTAAAAACACATCAATGGAACACAATTTATATTTTATGTTGCTCATGTGCATCAATCTGCAGATTTAATGGTCCCCAAATCGTGCACTACAAACTCTTGCTTGAGTAGCATTTCTTAAAAACTACATTGTCCAGCTGTTTATATTTCCATCCTGTTTTTAAAGATCAACGTCTTTAGTAAGAACTAATGAGCTCGGGGCTGTTAGGAAGTATTTGAGAGGACTTTGCATGAGATTTGTCGATAATAACACAAACTATGGAATAACACTCGCTGTATCCTTTGATAATGCAATAACACCACCCACCAATGTAATACGACACTGACGTTGCTTTTAAAGTTACATAACGGAAACAACCAGCCCAGTGTTTCCAGTATGAAACCTATTCTCCCTGTGTGTGTGTGTGTGTGCGTGTGTGTGTGTGTGTGTGTGTGTGTGTGTGTGAGAGAGTCTCTTGTGTGTCTTTGTCTTGCTCTTTTCTCTCCTCCCTCTCCTGCCAGTTAACTGGCCGCTCCTGTTTGTCCAGTATCACATATCAGAGCGGTACCGGACCAAAACAGGGTTCACTTTTCTGCCTGTTTGTCCTCACAGCGAGATAGTAGAGCTTCTGATTAATTAATGATATCACAATTTTGGCCTGCATTGATCCTGCACTGGTGGTCTAAATTGGCCATGCGCAGACATATCTTCACCTTGTTATTAGATTAGTGGATGCAGTGTCAGCACAGTAAATGCTGCTGATCCCTGATGCACATAGTGCTGGGATGGTGACATCTACTGATCTGAAAATGCAAAGATCTCAGAGTATTTAAGGCACCATAAGCTTCGACCACAGGTGAAGTTGATGTAATCACAAGTGTTTTTCTTGTTCACAGAGAGATTTGCGTGCTTTCACTATCAGACGAACGTCTAAGAAAGAAGAATTGGAAGGTATACAGTAAAAGCGGAACGGGTCGGAGACGGGAAGTGAAGAGGAGGAAGAAGCAACGGGATCGAACTAAAACTTCAAACTTCTTTTACTGAAATTAGAAATAAACTTGAAACCTTAAACTTTAAGTTTAAACTTTAAACTTATATTTTAACTTCAATTTTAAACTTACCTTAAACTTAAAGAAACGAAAAAGTGGGAAAAGTGAAAGGACGACTGCATAAATAGAATTGAGGGAAGATACTTAAACTTTGAACTCTAATATTTAAACTTAAAAGAAGAATATGACGAGTGTGTGAATAGAAAGGAGCTCGGATACAGTGAGGAGAAACATGAGGAAAGCTAATAGAAGGATATAAAATGAGGAGGGATGAGCATTGTTATAATTAAGGATTCATTTCACTGTTTAGGGTGCAGACAGATGTTTTTTATTGTGTAATATTGTATAAATACTCCAATTTACATATTTATAGGGTATTAGAATAACTCCCGAAGTGATTTAGTATGTCAGCATTGACATTCGTGCAACAGTCCAGGAATGATTTCTTTTATTTTTCTTCCTTATTTTCATTTCACATTGTTACTGACCTGGCAGCACGTATGGAATGCCATTCTAGTGAATGAAATTGTGGCAGCTGTTGTGAGGATGAAGGCAGCAGTGGTGATGATAATGTGGAGGATAATGATGAGGAGGAGGATGATGATGGTGGTGATGATGATCGCAGTGCTGCTTGACGTGAGGGCGACGGCAGTGACGGACGGATGATGATGATAAGCGAGCGGTGTGATAATGAGCCGTTGAAGGGAGCGACACGGAAAGCTAAAGGTTGTTTTGTTTTGTTGTTTTAATCACTGACACACTTCACCTTTTCACACAAAGGTCACGACTTCAGCAGGAGAGCGTGTAAATCACTGCGGTGTGTGTGTGTGTGTGTGTGTGTGTGTTAATATGCAAAACACAGAGCTATTGTGAATAATTTGTGTGTGTGTGTGATCTCTACAGTGGTGCCTCCCGGCCTGATGTGTGTGTTTAGTGCGTGTCGGTCTTATTTTGTGCAAATCTATATGTGTCTGTTAGCTCTCAGAGTATCCAGAGGTTTTTACACGGGCCTGTGTCTGTGTGTGTGCGTGTGTTTGAGCCTTTATTGGCTCCCAGTGGGTCGAGCAGAGTTCCTGACCCCATTTCCTGCTGTTGTTGACACAGAGAGACATTCAGGCCCCGGGGCTCCAGAGACCAGACTCTGGCCTGGAGGGGCTTCCTGCCACTGCTGCCGACTACAACCACTTGATTTGTAATTGTTTCGATTGCTTTTTATTTTTTTTCCCTTTTACTGTTTTTGGCATCCGTCAAACTCTGATTCGGGGGGGGGAGGTTATGGATTAGCCCCCCTATTAGGATTATAGTATCTTAATTAACGCGGTAAATCCTTTAAAGGCTTGTGGTTTAATTTATATAGTTATAATTTAAATATACATAAAGGCCTTTGTATTATTCTGGACCAATGGCCAGACACCAGCTGTGGATATTACGTGACTCTTTACCTCTTACTGATTGGGTGTAACTGTATGACAACAGCCGTGTGTTGAGTTAATGTTGTGAGCGTGGCATTAAAGTAATAACATACTTGAGGTTGTGCTGTATTAGTGAGCTGAAACACGACCGCAGCTCACCGGTGCCAGCAACCACAGCACTCCATGTTGCATGTTATTGCTTAATTCATTTGTCAATCAACCGCTGGAATTATTACCCATCGGCAAGTTTAATAATTAGCTAAGTTTTCATTTTGTAATGAGTCTACGGCTCCATGTTTGGTGTTTTTTTTGAGGTGTTGAAACAACTTGTTGTTGTGTTTCCAGACCGCGTGACAAACTCTCCGCGTGTATCTTTGTGTTTGTTCCAGGTCGCTGTCGACAGGCGGCCTTTCCGACAGCGAGCAGGAAGAGACGGAGAGCGGCGCCCAGCCTCCTCCCACCCAGCGCTACAGCGGCTACGACCTGGACGACCTGGACGTCGCCTGGCTGGAGCTGGTCAACCACGAGTTCAGACAGATGGGTGAGTGCGAGAAAGACTCGCTGCCCAAATCTCACAGATGACGGCCAGGAAGCACTATGACATTGAACAGAAAAACACTCGTCACTGAATGTCAAAAGAGTTTTCAAAGGCAGCGCCAGTAAATAGGGAGTCGCCAAATCAACCAGGACTGGAATCTGAAGGACTTCCACGTTACAAATGAATTTGATTCTCAGAACTATCTGTCAGTTGACTAATTGATTAATTGACTTGATGTTTCAGCACTGTTTAGTTTGGGTAACAGAGGAAACATGGACGATTAAGAGAGTCTTTGTTTATGATTAAAGCTGCCGGTTTTGCAAATTGACAGAACTGTAGTAGTAATAAAGTACCGAACGATAAGTTTAAGTTACATAAACGGTCCTAATTTATAATTACGGTCAGTTCATCAAAGGTTCCCAGAGGAATGAGACCAGCAAAGGATTTGACATCTTTTAGCTTCATTTCTTTTCTTTTCCACACCTGTCCTTTCACAGTCAATCACTTTTACTTCATACGTTCCATCAAAACTCAACTTCAATAGCCGTTTCTCTGAAATGTAACATTTAAAAAGTCTAAAAAGGTCTTAAAGTGTGGTTTCTGAAACCTGCAGATGCTCTGATACTGAAACTTTCCTCACTCTCTTCCATCATCACCCGCTCCTTTCCTCCTCTTCTACAGTTACTGTCGCTTTCTCCCTCCTCCGCTCTGCTACATCCTCCATTTTGCCTCCACGGTGACAACTGCTGACCCCGAGCATCTCTCCCATCTCCACCATTTCACTCCATATCTGATCGGCTCCTTTCAGATAGAGCGTCGTAATTGTGTTTATAAATCCCTGCCGGGGTTTCGGGCCTTTCTTTCTGGGACACATTCTCCTTAAATCAAACAAACACACACACACACACACACACACATACTTCCTGGAGCAGAAAGCGTTTTGTTTTTTCTCATAAACCTCAACGCAAGAACAAACAAACAGACGGTTGATTGGTTCTGCTGGGTGAGGCTGCACGACTCTGGACTCATGATGGGGTGACTCAGCATTTTCTATCTCAGACCTCCACTTACTGTGTGTGTGTGTGTGTGTGTGTGTGTGTGTGTGTACTTAGAAGCAGAGTGTTGATACTGGACATGCTGTAATTCTGGCAATTTTAAACATTGTTTTTAGGCTTGGGCTTTATTTGATTTTCAAATGATTCAGTTTAGAGGAAACTAGATTCATTGCAGAGAACTAGGTCATTACAGCAGCACAAAACAATGGAAAAGATACAGCATGTCAGTAGTAATAGAGAAAAGACACTATTGAATATCAGGCGTCATGGCATTTAAAGCGTTCAGTAAAGTAAGTTCAATAGGAATAGAGAAGTACAGGAAGCCACAGAATGCATCAACAAAGTGCAGAATAAAAGCAGTAGAACAGCAAAGAACGATATTCAGTCTGTGTGTTTGCCTTTGGCCTGTGTGTGTGTGTGTGTGTGTCTGAGTCGTGAGCACATGCACACACACACATGATAAATGTGCATCTGCATGTGCGGACAGCCGTCACATGAACAAACACGGAAACACACTCACAGGAGATAAATATAAAGTAAATACACTGCAGTGCACACACCGGTGTGTTGCTTCCCTCCCTCCTGTGTCTGTGTGTGTGTGTGTGTGTGTGTGTGTGTGTGTGTGTTTAGTTCATGGTGTAAATGTCAATGCAGGTTAATATCTAACCCTACTTCCCTTCTCTCTGCGGCTTCGAAATCCATTTCAAGTTCGACAGTTTCTTTCCTTCAGTTCTTCATTCGTACCAAAGTTTGTGTTCATGGTCAGATTCACACCTAATATATAGAGAATAAAGTTGACTTGTTTTCAGCATCGGCAGCAAATGTTCACATCTGAATATCATTTGGAAGTTAAACAGTGTTTTGGTCTAAAGCTTCATTTCTTTATGTGAAACTGCAGCTCAGATTGTAAATGAACTCTGTCTGCAACGAGATGCTCAAGAACCAGTAAATAAAGTTGTTTATTTATTCATTTTTTAAAAACTTTTTTGGATGGGGAGGGATTCAGTGACATGAATAACGGATGGAGACACAGGAGGCACAGCTCTACTTAAAAAAATAACTCCCAACGGAATCCTTCAAGTAAATCAATAAATAATCCTCGACTACAGACTCCAGGACGGCAAAAGTTTCTTTAGCGCAGCGTGGTGCATTCGGGCGAGGCGGTGTGATACTCAATTAAAAAAATTACTTTCATATTTTGTGTCCGAGCAAAATCACAAATACACAACTCTGCAGATTGTGATTTGATTTGTGTCTTCGTTTCATTTACGGTCTCCAAGTAAAAAATCCAATCAATCCTCTTTAATTTAGGAAAGACAAACTATTTTTTTCACGCTAGGTTTAATGCCTTGCTGTTACCCATTTTGTCTAATTATTGTAATCTCGTTGCATGTATTGAGATAATAGCATTCAACATCTTTTTGCCACCGTCCTGGAAACCAGACTGTTTACTTTCCTGCTCCCTCAAATACTCGCTTCTTCTTTTTTTCTTCTTCTTTTTTACGAGGAAGAAAGCGTGCATTTGCCAGTTAAATCAGTTTTCATCAACTATTAACCAGCCTTGGAGCAAGGCATCACTTTGAGATGCAAATGGAGCAGGAACATGAATGCTAATGCCGACACATATTGGCACAGTGAACCGAGCTGTCTGCAAGAAGGGCTGAGTGACAAATTTTCGTCGTTTATTTTTTATTTATTTTTTTGGCTATGATTGCAAATGGGCTAGTAGTGACAGAGCACATGTAGCGTTTCTCTGGTCAACTGCACACACTCCCACGTCCTGCCGCTCATTTTCTGCACATTTTTATCCAAAGAAAGAAAACAGAGAGCGACCTGTGTGAGGTGCACATGAGAAGGAAAGCCCTGAGTATTTCCAATTAACGTGTTTTGGTAAATTGACTCATTTTGAGCAGCTTTCCATTACTGTTATCTTTGTCGAAAACAAGAACTTGAGTGTTGACCCTGTTACTGCACTCGTACTTTTAATTGCTCTGTACTGGCCCAGTACTTCCAATACAACACTTTTTAAAGTTTTACTTTCTGTCGTCCGGCCCACCAGCGCTGCCGGAGCTGGACGAGCTGACGATGGAGTGCGTCCTGGTCGAGCTGGAGAGCACGTGCGAGGAGAAGATGCGGCAGGCCATCGAGACGGAGGAAGGCCTGGGCATCGAGTACGACGAGGACGTGGTGTGCGACGTCTGCCGCTCGCCAGAGGGAGAGGACGGCAACGAGATGGTCTTCTGCGACGAGTGCAACGTCTGCGTTCATCAGGTCAGATATTAAGTGGCTTATCTCTCTCTTCAAGTGCATGTGTGCCTGTATTTTTAAGTAGCACTCATCCTTGTGGCTTCTTAAAAAAACGTTCTTTTACAGAATAAGAAAAGTCCCTCTGTGAAAAATAATTTAAAATACAAAATCAAGGTTGTTCAAAGACGAGGTTTTGCTGTTGTCCTCAGAGCTGCCTTACATATTCTACTCATATTTTTCTCCCCGGGGCTTCATTCATCATCGGCGTGAGCATGCAGGCACAGTATCAGTTTCACAAGTGGTACCTTTGACATCTCGAGGCTCGAGGGGGCCGCTGGTGTGTTTGTTGCACCGGGACACGGTGTTAATTGTTCCGTCGGCCCCGTTGGCGCTGACACACCTTTAGTGTCACCAGACTGCCTCTGCTTTCCTGCTGTTATGACACTGGATGGAAATAGTTACATCCAGCTGCAGACCTAAAATGTCACTCTCAACGGGGTTAAAAAGCATGAAATAGAAGTGGGATTGTTTAGAACAAGATGGAAAACAGGATCATCCCAGTTTCAAAATGTGAAAATTGTTTCATCTCATGCATATGCAAATAGGAAAAAGGTCAGTGTTTGTTGTCTAGCTCTTTAGTTCACCAATTACTGACTTTAAGCAAAAAGATGAACTCAATGCATCACACAATTTACAAACTATCGGGACCAGTTCAGGCTGCAACCTCTGAAAAGGGAAGCCAATGCTTCATGTCTTTAACCTGCATTCTCTCTAGTGTCCATCAGGGGGCGACTCCTCTGGTAGTATAGAAGTCTATGAGAAAATGACTCTACTTCTCACTTGATTTATTACCTCAGTAAACATTGTAAACATGAGTTTATGGTCTCAATCTCTAGTTTCAAGTCTTCTTCAATACAGCATGATGTTCATTGAGTAACTTATGGTCCATTTAGAGTCAAACAGACCATAAAGCAGGGGATGCTTTAGGGCGGGGCTTCCTTCTGAGTTCGGTTTGTACTTTCTGTACTGTCCCGTGTCACTTCTGGTTGCGAAAAAACGAGATGGAGACGGACAAAAATCAAGATGGCGATGGCCACGATGCCAAACTCAAGGCTTCAACAACGGCCGTCCACAAACCGATGGCTGATGTCTCGGCGACTACATCCACTTCTTTTATACTGTAAATGGACACTAAATGCCAAACATGAGGAGTCATGAAAACAAGTAACGTATATTAAGAGAGTGAAATAAATTGTTACTCCGAGGGAGTATTCAGTAATGATAAAGCTGATATAGAGGGAACACATTCAACGCTGACTGTTGCTTCCCACGGCCGTCTTTCTAACCGCCAGCAGGTAAAAGATGCTCCGCTTACTTGCTTGCTTTGTTTGATCAATAAAACCTTTCATCAATAAAGTGCTTTAACTGCTTTTAATGTTGATGAAGTCCTTGGTGTCTCATTTTCTTTGCTTCCAGTCAGTGCAAACGTGTTTTTTTTTTTATACCTTTCCATTGTTTTATTAGCTCTTGATGTATTGCAGCTTTTCAGTCATAGAACATTCGATGCAGCCTTCCTTCTGTAGAGTAAGATGAGTGATTGCATCCTGAGGCCAGGCTTGAATTTAGCAGCAGTGGGTCCTGAAATCATGTTTGGGGATGCCCAGGTTGTTTTTTTCACCTTGCAATTTCATTTGGGCCTTGACCAAAAGAGTGATAGTTTGATTTGACCCGGTAGAATTGAGATTTGATAGATCTGACGCAGACGTTATAGTAATAGAGGAGAAAGAGGCGTTAAGAACGACAGTAAATCATATCTAACGATAAAATAACTCTGTTTCTGACCTACGGCACTGGATCTTTTCAAATATAAGCTGTTATGTTGGCATGAAAAACTTCCAGGGCACCCACACATGTTAGCGGAAAGGGGAAATGGGTGGAGTGTTGATGATACAATAACCTGCTGTGTTTTAAAAACAACACCAAGTGGTATGTGGAAAATGTCTTGCTTCCGTAATTCCGGTTGAAAGAAAAGTATTGGGCAGAGACAATAATATGTGGAGGAATTGTTCAAGAGTGCATGTTTTTGTTGTTGTGCGTTATTGGAGCAGCAGTAAAGCATAACTTCCTAAGGAGCTGTAAGAGGATTCAGAAGGAAAAAAGCGACGAGTTTTGTTTTAATCTCAGGAAATAAGCAGCAGACTGTCATTACTTTCCGGTTTAAGATGCAGCCACCACTGAAAGTATGCTGTTTCCAAATGTGAAAAGCCATGAAAACAGAACCATGGGGTGGCTTTGTGGTGCAGCTGGTTAAAATCAAGTCTCCCTCCAGTCTCCTGCTTCTTTATGGAAGTAGTTAAACATATTTCTTTAAACCGATTTGTATACAGAAGCCAGCAGAGGCTGTTTTTGTGCCTGTGGGGAAATTCTAGCCTCCAAAAGTGACATCCATTTCACAGTGTCCGTGTGTATTCACTGTGTGTCTGCTGGGTTTAATTTCCTGATGGCATGCCCTGTGAATGCATGGCACAGACTATCACGTCTCAGATATACGGCAGCTTCATTGCAATCATTTTGTGTTGACAACACACCGCTAACAAAGAAAGATGAAATAATAGAGGTGGTTAGAGTCAATAGTGGCTGTAATAGATTGTGTTTCCAAAGCACATTTCCAATTGCTGCATGTTTATTCTCATTGCGTGCTGCCTGTATATGAAATAGAAGTGGAATTATTTAGAAAAAGATGGAAAACAGGATCATCCCAGTTCAAAACAATGAACATGTTTCGTCTCATGCATGTACTCGGATGATTGATGTCTAGCTCTTTAGTTCACCAAGTATTGACTTTATTAAGCAACGAGATCAACTTAATGCATCAGGACACATAAAATACCATCAATAAACAATTGTTTGCAAACAATTTACTAACAATTTTTGCTACCAGTTCAGACTGCAACCTCCTAGTGAAGCCAATGAAGAAATACCTAAAACTTGCATTCTTTCTATTGACCATCAGGGGCGACTCCTCTCACTGCTAAAAGACGTCCGCCTTGTCTTTTAATATTATTTGGCACAACAACTGTCCACTCTCTAATGGGGCAAACCATGTTACAGGAATATTTTGAGATTTTCGTGAAAGACACTCATTGGTTTTATGTCAAGAGTTAGATAAGAAGAAGAAGAAGAATGATACCGCTCTCATATCTGTCCACTAAGTAAGAAGTTGCTGCTAGCAGCCGGTTAGCTTAGCAAAAAGATTTGTAGCGAGGGGGAAACAACCAGTCTGGCTCTGTCCAAAAGGTACCAGAGCACCTTTTTAAAGTGCAGCGATCAACACATTATATCTCGCTTGTTAATCCGTACGAACCCGACTAGGTGGACTTTGTTACCTTCAGACATAATCTCTTCGTCTTCTGCACATCATCACCTCTGCTAACTTCTCTCTCCCCCTGTCGCAGGCCTGTTATGGCATCCTGAAGGTACCCCAGGGGAACTGGCTGTGTCGGACCTGCGCTCTGGGCGTCCAGCCCAAATGTCTGCTCTGCCCCAAGAGAGGGGGGGGCCCTCAAGCCCACCCGCAGTGGAACCAAGTGGGTCCACGTCAGCTGTGCCTTATGGATCCCCGAGGTGAGACTCAAGCAGGGGCACGGGGCACAAAATGGCCAAATTATCTGAATATAGTGTGGTGCAGATAACTGCTTCCTGTTTTTGTCATTCTCTCTTCAGTGTTTAAAGATAGTTCTTCTCTACATTTACTAAACCTGGTGCAGGATTCTACCAATCAAAGACAGGCAATCCGTCACACGCCACACACATCCAGATGGGTTGTACTTGATGCCACTGTTGATGGAGAAATTAGCATCCATGCCTCCTCTTTTATCTGTTTGTTTTAGTGTTGAATATTGTTGCTTTAAAAGAGTGAGTGTTTTATATCTTCTGGTTGTTGGTTCGTCTGTCCCATTCTCTTGAACGCGATGTGAGGTGGTGTCGTTTTGGACAGACAGGCAGACAACGTGAGGCTGTTATTCTATTTATTTATTTATTTTACATTTGCGTGAGTGCATACAGCTGCAGTCATTGTCAACATTAGTGTAAAATCCATCTATCCTGCATTAGTTAAGTGGAGTCAGCAGCTACATAAACCTGAAGTATGTGCTTGGTGTTGAATGTGTGTTGAAACACGTCTGGTGCTCTTGGACGAGGCGCCTACACCATAAAAGAAAAAGAGAAATAAAAAGCCCCTGAAAGACTGCGTGGTGCGTACGATGCTGTGATAAGAACCCACACTGTGCTTATTTTGACTCCTGCACTTGTGTTTTGACTGAACTTCACTTCATCCAATCCTCACCTCAAAAGACACTGCATCCATCTCTGAAAACACGCTTTACTGCACACGCTTTACTGCACACGCTTTACTGCACACGCTTTACTGCACACGCTTTACTGCACACTCTTTACTGAACACTCTTTCAGGTACACTGGTTTTCTTTTCACCATTTGCATCAACAGAAACCCTAACCCCCACCATTCATGTTCCTGAAAAGCCTGGACGCAAAAAGCTTTTTTTCAATCTTTGCCAGATGAAGGATTGGAGAAAGAAAATCTTTCCCTTTTAGAATGGAGCATAAATATGTTGGCAGCGCAGATCACTGTGATGGAAGATTACAGTGTCGATGGGCAAACATTCTGCATGCATGCAAACTTAAGTTCAAGTGAACTGGATTCATGCAATGTTTCTTTAGGTGTTAATAGGAAACATTTGCACTGAAAGAAACTTGTTCAGAAGACAATTTTAATTTCCGAGGGGGTGAAATCATTTTACTTTTATCCGGTAGAGATTCCAGTTCAGATATAATCGATGCTATTGCAGCAGCTACGCTAACCTCTACCGGAGCCGCCATTGTTTTTTTTTTTTTTTAAGAATGAACAGTTGCTCCTCTGTGTCGTCTCACGCTCGTAGCTGCTAGTAGCTCCTCACAGGACAAAACGCATCACTTGAGGTGAAAAAGGCCCATTAGCCTCATATTAGCTTCAGCTGAGAGGATGGAGGATTGCAGCGACCCATAACTCTTTAGATGTACCATGTAAGAGTCCTTGAAACAATCCAAAAAAGGTCTTTCAGTAAATGTGGCCTAGATTTTAAGAAACACTCACACTTCCCATTTGGGTTTCCTTGTTTACAATAAATGCTTTAAACACTTCATGTAGCTCCTTCAGTACAAACCTAACACTTTAGTCAGTCTGCAAGTCATTTAAATAGATTCACGAGGAACCTGTTCGCCTCATTTCCACTTGATGTGTCTTGATGATACCTTTCGGAAGCGTCTCATCTGAAAGCTCCCAAATGGACTTAAAGCAGCCCCGCTCTCTTCAGAGGTTTCAGGGAACGGATGTTGCTTCACGCCCCGCACACACCTTTAAACTGTTAAGACAGTCAGTCATGTGTCGGGAACACACTCCACCAGCAGATTCCTCAGTAATGGAGTGACTTTTGGCAGCTCAAACCTTTTACTTCGAATTGCCTTCTGTCACCCTTGATTGGGCTAATTGTTTTCGTTGCTCCGTTCGCTTTTGTTTTCTCTTCCTACCGAGGAGGGAGGGATGAAAAAGAAAAACCAGATCATTTGCATGTCTGTGCTTCATGTGCGTGTCTGCACGCGTGTCCTTGCATAGACTATTGTGTGTGCTCGCATGATCTAAAGAGGCTTTAATAGCAGACGTCCTCACAAATATACACTCACATCTCAACACTGGCTGGTTTTCTACTGAATATGAATATTTTCAGAAAAATAGGCTCTGTGTGTGTGAGAGTGCCATTCATAGAGAGTGCTGGATTGTGTGTGCGTGTGTGTGTGTGTGTGCGTGAACACACCACCAAGCCTTCAAACGATACAGCCCCCCCCCCCCCCGCAGCGCTGTGTGTATAGCTGCCGTCAGCCCTCTGCCTTCAACCCCTAGAGAGAGGTCCCTCTTTAAACGGCTTTTCACAACACACACACACACACACACATGCACAGAGACAGAGCCCCTCTTTTTAAAAATGCCTTTTCATTTGACACCCTGATTTCCACCCATTTCCAATGAAGTGATTTCAATTTTTGTCAGTTTTCCATCTCGCGGCTTTGAAATGTGAAGTAATTGGGGCTTGAATCTGCTAATCGGGGAACGAGCATGTTAAAAGGCCTGCTATGTGCTTACACACACTTACGGTACACACACACACACACACACACACACACACACACACTCTTGGAAATCTACAGCCCTGACTTTTTGAGTATCGACAAACCAACTGAAGAGGACAAGGTGGAGGAATTGTGTAAAGTGCAACCTCTCTGATTCAAAGAGTGGAAATCCTTTTTGGCCATCGATCCGTTTCGTATGAAAGAAGCGGACGTTGACGGCAACAGCTGGGGCTTCATTGTCCGAACGCTACTTTCTATTGACCTCGGATCGAGTGTGCTATCCTCCTGTGAATGAGCTGACGAGAGGACGGAGAAGAAAATCAGATATGAGAGAGAGAGAGAGAGAGAGAGAGAGAGAGAGAGAGAGAGAG